TCCAAGTTTCCATGGAAAGGAACAGAAAGGAACCCACACAAACCTGGAATTGCCTCTCCTGTAAAAAGTTCTGAATAAAAATGGCCAAATGGCCACGCAACCCATAAGAGTGGAGGTCCTGCAAAATGTCATACGTCCACGTAGTGTCATAAGTCTTCTCGAGATCAAGAACACAAAAACAAGATGTTCTCTCTTGAGGAAGGCTTCCCTGATGACGTTTCAAGTCAAATCAGATAGTCCACACAGTGGAGCAGTGTCGACGGAACCCACATTGGGTGGGCAAGAGGAGCATGTTCGAATCGAGGAACCAAACAAGCCAAGCATTAACCATCCTCTCTAAAACCTTACAAAGACAACTAGTCAAATCAATGGGAAGATAATTAGAAAAAATGTTGGGATACTTCCCAGGTTTAGAGAAAGGGAAGACAATAGCCTGGTGCCAAGCATAAGGAAAAACGTGCTCCTGTCAGATCCAGTTAAAAATAACTAGAAGAATAGTATGGGAAGCAGGACAGAGATGGCATAGCATATCATAATGAACATTATCAGGTCCGACCAATGTACTACTAGATTGATGAAGAACAAGTCTGAATACACATGGGGCGATTATAGTCATGGAGACAATCGTTCCAAAAGGAAAGAGATGATTGCTCTGCCCAAGACTTGATGGCCAAGAAGACAGGAGAAGAAACAGAAGTGCTAGATGCACAAGAAAAGCTGTGGCCAAGAGCATCAGGAATGCTCTAGATATCAGCAACTTCCTGGCCTTTGGAGAGCAAGATAGAAAGGGGTTGAAAGCAAACCTCTCATTGACTTTCCAAATCTTGTACCATACAGTTTTGGAAATAGTAGCAGAAGAGATGCTAGTAGTGAACTTAATCCAAGACTCCTTTTGGCTTTGACATCGAACCTGCCGAGCATGGCCACAGGCCCGCTGATAACTAATGTGGTTAGAAAAAGAGAGGGATACCGTCGGAAGGTATCCCAGGCCCGTTTTTGTACATTCCTTGCCTCTTGGCAGGCAGGACTCCACCATGGATGAGGATACCATGGAAAACGTGTTGAGGCCTAAGGAATAAAATGAGCAGCTGCCTGGACGATATAGTCAGTCACTGTTACCACACAGTCGTCTACTGATGGCAGATAGACAAAGGCAGGATCAAGTTCGAAGAGAGAGAGGTGAAAGGTGGCCCATCAGCCCAGTCCAACTTCCACCATGGCACTCGGGTCGGGTGGCATCAACCACCCTCATGATAGAAAAATGATCATTGCTCCGTGGGTCACTGTCAATCATCCAAGAAAAGCAAGTGAAAAGTGAAGGGGAGCAAATCAAGAGATCAATGGCAGTAAAAGACTGACTAGGAGCATGAAAATAAGTATATGTTCCAGTATTGAAGAGAGAAAGGCTGTGATCTGAGAGCATACACTCTGCAGAACAACTCCTCCCATCAATATCAGCACCACCCCAGAGGGGGTTGTGTCCATTAAAGTCTCCCAGAAGTAAAAATGGAGAAGGCAACTGGTCAATGAGAGCATCAAGGTCCAACTGATCATAAGTCTCACCAGGAGACAGGTAGAGAACAAACAGTGATGGTATGACCCAAGGAAACACGGATGGCTACAACCTCCAATGGTGTATCGAGGGACACAGATATGGAGAGCACATGCTAGTCAACCAGCAATGCCTCCCCTCCATGCACTTATCCATCACACAACCTGTCATTCCAGTACAAAGAATACTGCCAAAAGGTGATTTTATCGGTAGGTTTCAGAAATGTTTCCTGTTAGGAGAAACACACAAAATGATAGATGTCGATCAAGGCCTTGACGTTATCAAGATTAGAATGAAAACCTCGACACTTCAATTTTATTTAAATGGCAATTTTTATTTAGGTGGAGGAGAACAGGGTGGAGAACACTTCAGTTTACAACCACGCTGTTTTTCTTTACTAGATGAAAGTTGATCGACCTCCATAAATCCTGCCCTTGATCGAGTGGGTAGATCTCTGTCATCAGACTGGAAATCCAATGACTGAGGGTGTGATCGATTGATCGTCCTGCATCTAGGGGCCAAAGAAGGACCCGAGCGGACACCAGTGCCCGAGGAGGTGGACTCAGGCACTCACTGAAAGGAATAGTGGGGACTGAGATTGGGGTAGACATAGACCGGTCAACTCTATTATCACATGGTGTGAAAAAGACTCACATGGAGGCATAGAAAGGTTCATCTGCACCTCTACCGTAGCAATGGAGCGTAGTGCAGTGGTATATGTCTTAGAGGGAGTAGGAAAGAATAGCTTCTGAGGCTCAGGGTAAGAAATGTTGTTAACAGTGTTCAAATGCTGTACCTACTTCTCCTCCACCAACTTAGGGCAAGACCTAAAGTACGAGGGGTGGGAACCACTACAATTAACACAGTGAAGGTCCAGTTTGCACTCGTAGGCAATGTAGTCCTTGCCACCACAACGAGCACACGTCACAGAACCATGACAAGATATCTTCTAATGACTGAACCGCTGGTACTGGAAACATTGGAGAGGGTTGGAATATATGACCATACCTTACAATTCAAATAGCCCGCCTTAAACAGTGGCAGGTGGACGTAGTGATGAAAACGTCAAAATCAGAATAGAGTTTGGCACCATAATACCATCTTGATGAGTGAGGATTCAACAAACTGCTGAAACTCCTAGGCTGGAGAAACTAGCATAAATCGCTGACTCAGGAATGGTCTTCAAGATCTTCTCAACAATAACTACTCATGAGGAATTCAAAGAAGCATGGGGAGTAACCTCAATGGGTATATCCCCAATGGCCTTTGAATTCAAGAGGAGTTCACTGTGCTTTGCTGTGGAGGTTTCAACCAAGATGTCTCCAGAATGGAGCTTTTTAACTGACTTTTGAGACCCAGCAAGCCCCTCTAATCCTTTCTGTATAAAAAAGGGAGACAATTGCCCTAAAGCTTTGTCAGACAGGGAATGCAGGATCAGGAAGCGAGTTACAGGTGTACTTTGTGATGTAGACTGCAGTTCAGAATCTTCAAGGCGTGGACATTTACCAATAAGCAGAGTTCTTTGAAAAAATTAGTTGGATTTAGGGGATCCATAATAAAAGAGAAAGATTCAGTGCCCTGTGACCCCACCCGTCATGGAGTCATACGAGGGGATGCACTACAATGGAAAGATATGAGCAGGGCCACTGTGTTTGATTCAATATGAGTGACATCTTAGCATATAGCAAAAGAAAAGAGGTTCTTATATCATATTCTAGCAACTCAATATTGGTAATTTAAATTTATAATTCGTTCAAAACTATAGACTTTCTATATGGATTAAAAACATATTGTTATGACATGCGACGCTAGAAACATGTGTGCTGGAGATTCTAGAAGGATCATGTCTGTTCGTGGCAACTCTAGTCTTTTCTACGCACCCTCTATTCCTGTATATAAGCGCGACAGACAATCAATCTGGACTGGAATAGCTGACAGAGAGAGACTGAAGATATAGACAGATAATCGAGTCAAGTCGTAAGTACAGTACATGAATCGTTGTGAATTATAGCGTGTGTTTAAGTTAAAGTGACAGTGGAAATTCTGTGAATTGCAAAGTTGTATTGAGAAAGAATAAACTAGTTTTATTTAAGAAAGGACTTGTATCACTGAATTTCTTCGGGAAAAATTTTTACGGGAAATTAACAAACGAACTGAGACATAACAATATAATTCAAACCAGTGCTGCATTCAACATACCACATGACACACAAAAAAAATCAATGTTTAACTGTGTTTTTAATATTTACTTTTAAATTAAAAAATTAACTAACTTATAATACTAAAATTTGAATTATAATCTTAAATTTCATACCAAACTTATTGACATAAATTCATAAAATAGTAGTTCAATAAAATTTTGAATGCAGGTCAACAAACAATATGACATGACCTTTGACACACGACCCGTCACGATAGAATAATGTAGATTTTTAGATAGACAGCATAAGGGAAGCTTTAAATCTTAGAAAACCAGATAAATTATGATAGCTATAAAATATTGTTTGCTTTGTGTGTATTATTATTATTCTGAACTCATACGTGCATTATCTAATTAAAAAAAAAGGTTATGTATTTCTACCATAAGTCTAAAAAAGTAGGCTTAAGCTTATTCAGCAACTGACAGCAAAAAAACCAAGGGGTAAATTCTATATTTTATCTTTATTAAATTCACTAAAATATATCAATCACAATCTCGTTAGGTTAGGTTAAGTTAGATAATGAGAAATGATAAAAATTCTTCATGAAGTATGCTCATGAACAGATTGTAGGTTATGTATTCAATACAGTAACATAAGCTACACATTCGTCGAGTGATTTACAACTAATGCTGGATTTGTAATTAGACACAAGTGTAAGGGCAATAAAACAATTAAAACTAGGTATAAATAGATATATACTGTTAGGAGTTTTAAGGTATTTGACATAAAAAAACTGTAGTTTCATGTTACAACTTAAAGCCATTCTGGAAAGAAAGTAATGTATTTGGTATTTTTGTATGGTGATTACAAGGTTGGTCAAATCAAAGGATTGTGTATAGAGATAATGTAAATAAGATAACACACAAAATATCATTTTACTGAAAAAATCATTTGATATTTATTTACCATATTTTAGAGATTACTCCAATGAAATCTGATAACTTTAAGATGAAGAAAGTATTTAAAATCTTAAGAAGAAAATCACTTTGCAATTGGAGTAGTCAACACACTAACTCCCTATATTCATTAACAAATTTTCAGTAGAGATACGTAATTAAACACCTGAGTTTTTGTGTACAAAATACTACTTATGTTTAAAGAATTTCATGAAGATATGGTATAAAAACCCTTATGTTTTTGTATTATGTTTACTGTAGGGTTACAAGATCAGTTATACCAATCAAGTCTGTTGGTAAGTGTTGAGCCAGTGTCAAGAAACTTATGTTTTAGGTGATGTCTGTACTTACCACATGTTCTTTCTAACCCTGATTTGATCTCTCTTTGAAATTCAGTTTCTGTTTTCAGGTTCATAACATTATAGAATGAACTATCCTGATTCTCATCATCACTGTAACTGAACTTTGAAACATCTTGTAGTAGATCACCAGGCTGTTTGATTTTCACTTGAACAGACATGTTCTAAAATCAAACAAAGCTTGAAAGGGTTAACAAAAATAACAACTAATGTTAATATTACATACAGTCTCCACAGTTCACTAACTTAAAACATGATATGATTAATAAA